ATGAAAGGGGGGGGGCTGGCGGGCTCGGGCAGGGGGGGGGGGGGAGAGGGGGTCTCATTTAACCCTGGAAAAGGAAGGGCTGATGACCACTCTTGCAGAGGAGGAAGCAGGCTCAGACAGCAGAAGGTGCTACCGAAGGTCACACAGTGGATAAACAGTGGGGCCCCCAGGTCTCAGGATGCCTGGTTAGTGACAGAGCTGAGGCACACCGACATGCTTTGCAGTCACACCAGGTTCAAACCCCAGCTCTGCCCATGGGTAAGTCACTTTATCTCTCTTGGGCCTCAGTTTTCTCATCTGGAAAATGGAGATGCCATAGTCCTCCTGCCATCAATGCCAAGAAATGGACGGGCTGCTATCTGGGGGGCCTTGGACCCAGTACCAGCGGCAGGACCGTCCTATTCTTAAAAGCTTCCTCATCCCACTGTGCCCCCAGTCAGCCCTGGCCCACTGCTGACCTGGAGGACGGTTCCTGCACGGGGGTCGAGAATCCGAATCTTGCGGTCCTTACAGGTGGTGGCCAGCAGGCTCCCATTGGTGTTGAAGGACATGGAGAGGATCACATCTTGGTGACAGTTAACTGTCCTCACGGGGCTCGTGATGACAGACTCCTTTGTATCCAGGTTCCAGATCATCACCTGCATGGCAGAGAGCCAGCCCTGAGCACAGTGGGCGCCCCTACTCTGGCCCCCCAGTCAGACGCTGGTCGGCCGCAGTGAAACACGGTATCCCCAGGAGGGAAGTCGCAGCTGGCAGCCTGACCAAGAAGCCTCGGTGGGAGGAAGAAGCACAGGGGGATCTGGGAGCCAGGCTGTCTAGCAGGGAAAGAAAAACACCATCTGCTTTTGCGCAACAAAACATCCATGCTGGGAGCACCCCGGGATGGCTAATCCAGGGAGTTTCAGACAGTTGCTAGCAGCATTTCCACTTCACACAGATAAAAGGGGCTGCCACGTGGAGCTGCAGAGGCTGCGTAGTGCACAGCTGCAGGGCAGTCCTTTCCTGTAACCTGCAATGTCAACATGCCCCTGGAGTTGTGTACAGAACAATCTGCAGGCCTTGAGCAGCAGCCCTGTGGGACACCCTACATAAAACAAAGCACTTCTGGTCGGAAGGGTGTGGTCAGAAGGCCCAGAATCGTCCCCTCATCCCAGCCACGCCCAGCCCACACTTCTATCCATCACAGAAGACCCTAAGTGCCTCTTTAAACCCTTACAGAGTTAGAAGAGTTTAAAAGCCTTTAAATTGGGAAATCGAGGCCCAGGGAAGATAGGATTTTTCCAGGACACACTGCAAAAAGAGCTTGAGTTGGAATAGTAATAGAATCTAGGACTCCTGTATCATGAATCTCCCCAACCCATGGGGCCCACAGCCTGTTTGCTTGGTGATCAGTGAGCAAGAGGAAGATGCTGTGGGCAGGGCCCAGCCCATCCACTCAGGGAGACGTAATGGGTCAATAGTGTTCCCTTCCCCCAACCCATGTCCACCTGCAACCTTGGAATGTGACTTGATTTAGAAACAGGGTCTTTGCAGATTAAATTAGTTCATGAGGTCATAATGGATCAGGGTAGACCCTAAGTCCAAGGATAGGTGTCTTTATAAGATGAGAAGAGGGCACCCAGATACTAAGGGAAGACCGCATGAAGACAGGCAGAGAGGGGAGGGATGCGGCTACCCGCCAAGGGTGTCTGGAGTCCCCAGAATCAGGAACGGCCACAGAAGGATTCTTCCCTAGCACCTTTGGGAAGCACCTGGCTCTCCCGATATTTCAATTTTGGATTTATGGTCTCCAGAACTGTCAGAGAATTTCTGTTGTCTTAATCATATGGTCTGTGCCTTGCTTGGGCATTTCTCAAGGCAGTCCCCAAAAACAAACACGGACGTCACCTTGTAGTCATAGCCGGCGCTGAAGAGGATGTTGGCTGCGGTGGGATGCCACTCTACCAGGCCCACTCGGCGTGCGTGGCCCACCAGTTCCTTCCTGAAGGCTGTGAGGTTTCTTGCCAGCAGCTGCTTGGGGATATCCCAGATCTTAATCTATCAGGGAGACATGGCCCAGGAGTGGATGTTAGCCAGAGGCCCCTCTGCATCTCTGCCACCCCAAGAGCCAGCAGCTGCTTGGGGATATCCCAGATCTTAATCTATCAGGGAGACATGGCCCAGGAGTGGATGTTAGCCAGAGGCCCCTCTGCCACCCCAAGCCACAGATCCAGCGATACCCAGCATCAGAACCTGAGTTCTCCCCAAAGCTACCTCTCATGGGGGGTGGGGGGTGTTGGGAAACTCGGGGGGACAGGGTCTTCATCAGGTCCTTTACCCGATGAAGTTGGCCTGGTGCTGACCAGGGATGAGCCAAGGCCTCCAAATCTGCCCTCGAGGAACCTTTGCTATCTTGAGGGCCTGAGGTGGTAGGCAGGTGCAGGTGCTGCAGGCCGGTCTCCCAGGCTGGATGCCAGAGGAAGAGGGCTTGCAGCCTAGAATACCCCCCAAAGTACAGTGGTCTACCCTCTGCTTGGTCCAAAAGCCCAGAATGGGGCCTCGAATGCCAGGATAAAGGGTCTATGCTGCATCCTGAGGGCACAAGGGAGCCAGTGCAGTTCCTGGAGCAGGACTGGGCAGAGACATGCTCATTGCTTTGGAGAGGCACCACATTGGTCGGCCTGGAAAAGGAAAGGGTGAAAGCCAGGAGGCTGGGCTGAATGCAGTCAGGGGCTGTATTTCTCAGTGAGGGCCCGAGAGGAGAGGCTGGGACTTTCTTCCAGAGCAGAGTTGCCTGAGGATGGGAGGGACCACCGAGGTAGAGAGTAAGCTCGCCGTCACGGAGGTATACAAACAGGTACAGGACGGTATGACAGAGGGCAATGGAGGCCGGGATGGTGCTGATGGTGTCCCTTACTGTCCTACAGGGTTCTCAGGCCCCCCTCGTCATTGCACATACCTTTTCCCTTACAGGTATATGGGTTTTTCAGGTAAATGCCTTTGCTTTCGATTTGGCAAATATTTATTTTCTGCTCATCTTGAATTTAAAACCAGGCGGCTAACCGCATTTTAGTAATGCCAGGCTCCAGAGAGATTGGTCAGGTGAGGGTGGTTCCTGCACAGAGCTGGGCCCTGGAGTGAGGATAGACTCCGGGCAGATCTGCTTAGGAGGTGCAGGCACCAGCCCCAACACTGAAGCAGCAGACTGTTCACTCCCCTGGGCTAGAAGCCATCTCTGCCCCCCAGGTCCTGACAGCGAGCACTTGGCACGAATGAATGAACTCTACGCATTCCCTCTGGGCACGGCTGTGTAGACAAAAGGCCACCCCCAGCAGTTGAGGCCACTTCCCCTGACCATGGGGCATCTGGAAAGGGACAGCAGCAGGTGATGAGGCTGGCTGGGATTTAACAAAGGCCTCGAAGGAAGTCTTCGCAGGGGCCTGAAAGTGCAGGTTTTAAAGGAGTGGGGACAGAGTCCAGTATCTGATCTCCTGGCTGTCCTCTGCTTGCTGGAGACAGGGCCACTTGTCACAGGCCCTGATTGCCCTTTGGAGAATCACCTTGGCAGACATGGCCCTTCATGTGCCTCTGCGACTCTCACATAGAGCTGACATGAGTCCCCTTTGAATGTTCTGCCTTGGAGCCAGCAGGTGGCGAAGTGGTTATGTTGCTGGACTCCCACATGGCAAACTGTGGTTCGAGTCTGGGAGCTGGTAGTCTGAAAAATCACGCGAGGCATGTGTGCATGTGTGCCCAAGATCATGGGAGGACAATGGAGGAGAAGGGATTGCAGCATGGCCACCCCTCTGGAGGAAGTGGTTTTTTCCTTTTCCTTTCACTGTCTCTGACCTTTTTTGCCTTATGGCAAAAACCTCTTTAAAAAAATTTAAAAAAGGGACCAGCAGTTAGCATAATGGCTATGTCGCTGGACTTCCATGTAGTCGACTGCGGTTTGCGTCCCAGACCGGTGGCTTAAAACTCACTCCGGGTGCGTGTGCGTGCGTGCCCAAGATCCCGAAAGGAGAATGGAGGAGAAGGGTTTGCAGCGTGGCCATCCCTTCTCGCTTTCTCTCTCTCTGGCAAGCGCATGCGCCCTATAGCGAAAAACCTCTCCAAAAAAAAAAGGTAAAATCATTTTTAGCTCATGAGCCATATAAAAACAGACCAAAGGCTAGATTTGACCTATAGTGTATAGTTTGCTGATTCATTACTGACTCTGCTTGTCATGAATTCTTTGATACTCCTCTCAAAAAGAGGTAGGATGAATGAAGCCCTCAGCGCTGTACCCCCTGTAGTTGACATTTCTAGAATTGCCCCCACTTCCTCCATGTGTTGCTGTTGCTCCTCAGGGAAGCGGCACAGCTCAGGGCAAAGAGAGATGATGCTCTGTAGTCAGACAGGCCCCGGTCTGACTGCGACCGCGGGCAAATTCCGCACCTCTCTGGTTCTTAGTTTCTCCAGAAAAAAAAACAAAAACAAAAAAAAACCAATCCTGCCCTGCAGTGTCTGGGGGAAGACTGAACGAAATAAGGAGTATAATGACAGGCAGGACTACAGCGGGTTCACGAGTCATAGAAATCACCTCTTAATTGCCAGAGGGTGAACGTACTCACCAAAGAGAGAAGGAGAGGAGGAAAGCCCTTCCCCCCGGCCCCCGCGGGGCAGAGTCCTGCTGCAGTCCCTTCTCCTCCATTTTTCTGTCCCAGCAGACAGATCTGGGGCACATGCGCACACATGCCCCCAACATGTTTTTCAAGCTGCTAAGGCCAAGATTCAAACGACAGCGGGCCATGAAGGATCCAGCTTCCTTAACCATGAGGCTATGAGACCAGCTCAAAACTATGACTTTTATCTTGAATCATCTGACCATATCTGTGTTTCTTTGTTTTAGAAGTAAGCACAAAATGAATTGTAAGCAAACAATGCTGGACATTGTGGGGACAGAGACTGTGAGCCTGGACTGAGCATAGAACAGGAGGTGGGGCTGAAGCTTTGGGAAAGGTCTCAGTGCCCCTGTTCACAAAAGGCGCTTCCTCTCATCTTTGGAGTTTTGCTTCCTCACTGTGAGGTTAAGGGGAACAATCTTTCCTGATCACAGTAAAAATGCCCCTTATTGCTTTTTTTTAAAGCTGAGTTATTTATTTGTCAGAGGGTGTGTGCATTCACCAGAGAGAGACAGGGGAGAAAGCACCCCTGATGGAGCTTCTGTCACAACCCCTCCTCCATTTCTCCATCCTGTCAGGATTTTGAACATGTGCACACATGACATCAGTGTTTTCGATTTTTTTTTTTTTTTGAGAGTTTTCGCTACAGGGCACGTGCGCTTGCCAGAAAGACAGAGACAGAAAGTGAGAAATCACCCCCCAGGGGGGATGGCCACTCCACAATCCCCTCTCCTCCATTCTCTTCTTGGGATCTTGGGCACACACGTACACGCACAGGGCTTGAGTTTAAGTCACCGGGTCCGGGCCTTGAACCGCGGTCTGCCACATGAGTCCAGCAACACAGCCATTATGCCAACTGCTGGTCCTGAGACCAGTGTTTTCAGGCTACGGGGGGCTGGGATTTGAACCATAGCTGATCATGTGGATTCTCCTCCCTAAATATCAGTGTACGGGGCCAACTGCCCTCCACTGCATTGCATAGGGAGGGTGGGCCTCCCACTGAAGCATGCAGCCCACTGGATCATCACTGGGTGGTGGGCGTTATTAAGCCCCACTCTACAGTTGGGGGAACTGAGGCCCATAGAGAGGAAGGCGGGTGCCCCGAGTCCCACAGTGCTCAGAACTTCTCGACTGACCCTAACACTTCCCTGGGTTGGGACCGTGTCTTGCCTACCAAGGTGTCGGGAGCAGCAGGGCTGAGTGCAGATACCATTCAGCCTTCCCCAGCTTCAGTCTCATTCTTCCCAGGAGAGGGAGACATGTCTCGGGGGGACACTCACCGTGGCGTCTTCAGAACAGGAGGCGATCTCGAAATCATTAAAAGGGTTCCACTTGACATCTAAGACATTCCCTCTGTGTCCGCAGACCTTTGGGTAGTGGGGGTCCAACTTTCCTGTCTGTAAAACAGTGTCCACAAGGGTTAAGGAGGAGGTTAATTCAACTTTAGCATCTGGATGGTCACTTGGTCAGCAATCCCCGAGTAAACGGAAAAATGCAAGAGACAGAACTGGATGCGAATGCAGGCTTACTCTTTGTTTGTTTAAAGTGCTTTATCCCCCCATAGGGTGCATGTGCTTGTCAGACATTTAAAAAAAAAAACACGCATATTCTATGATACCACTTAGATGAGGTACTTACTAGACGTGGTCTCATTGCTTAAGCCAATTAAAACAGTCTTGTTATAAAAGCTAAATGAAGTAGCACATGGAAAGGCAGAGAGACAAAGGGAGGGAAAGTGAGAAATCATCCCCCGGGGGAATGGCTATGCCACAATCCCTTCTCCTCTAGTCTCCTCCTGGGATTCTGGGCACATACTGGCACATGCGCCGAGTGTAATTTTCAAGCTGCCGGGAGCACTGGACGTGCAGACAGCCACGTGGGAGCCCAGCGCCTTAACCGCCACACCACCTGATGGCCCCTACTTATTCATATCTTCCACGAGAGACAGAGACCACCCCAATTGCAGTCCCATGCCCAGCATACCCCCAGTCTTAGCTGGCCTAGATCATGGATTGGTAATGCACCCACCGGGCTAAAGGAGGTCCTGGGACGTGAACCCAGGCCTTTCCCATGCGCATCCAGCGGTGTTACTGCTGCGCCACCACCTGGCCCCTGTACCATTCATTCCTGCGTGACCCTGGGGAAGTGACTTCCGTTCTCTGGGTAAACTGGAGGCAATGACAGGTATTTCCGAGGCTGGTGGGAGGGCCATAGGCGGTGAGGTGTGGAAAAGGTCCGGATGGCTCACTGAGTAAAGGGCGTGTCCCTCACACGCTGCGTGAGGGGTGTAAATGTAGCCTTCCTGGAAAGCAGCTTGGAGGTTTTCCTCCAAACATTAAATAGAGTTACCATAGGACCTGGCAGTTCCACTCCTAGGTCTACCTCCAAGAAAAATAAAAGCATTTCTTCACCAATGTTCACAGCAGCAGGATTTAGGACGCCAAAAAGTAAAAGTGCCCATCAAGTGAAAATAGGTATACGGAACGTACTAATCTCATGGACTGAGGGCTGGCTCCACGGCCTGGTGGTTCAGGCAGCAGGATTTCTTGTAGCTGAGTCCTGGCCCTGGTGGCTCGAGAGACATGCTGGGCACATGGACCCTGATCTTTAATGGAGGAGAAGGGCTTGTGATGTGATCACATCCCTCCCTCTCTCTTTCTGGTGAGCACACATGCCTTCAGGAAAACAAACAAACAAAAAGTATTATTCTGCAAAAAAAAAAAAAAAAAGGAATGAAGTACTGAAACTTGCTACAGCATGGATGAACCTCGAAAACATGCTAGGAGAAAAACACAGGGCCGGCAGGTGGCATGGTGGTTGAGGCGCTGGACTCCCAGCTGGCTGACCTGGTGGCTGGTGGTGAAGGCAGGTGCGCTGTACATGCTGGGTGTGCATACCTGTGCCAGCGACCCTGGCTGGCAGAGGCTACGGGTAGATTGTGGAACAAAGACCCTGTGGAGGGTGTCTATCTGTCTCTGTCTGTCTCTCCCTCTCTCTCTTAGAAAAAAAATTAAAATAAACCTAACAAAACAACTCAAAGATCAGGAATGGTGAGTGCAAGCGCTCTCTCTTACCCTGCACCTGTGTCGGCATCACTAATGGATCACGGCACCCTTCACTGGCCGTGACTTGGGGAAGCCCCTGACTGAGGGAGAGACTTGCCCAGTGTCATTGGGAACACCCGAGGCAAAGCTGGGCTCTAGCCTCCGGCCCCCAGTGTGAGCCTGACCGGCCTTCCTGCACACAGCCTGTCCCTTCTCTCAGATCATTTCCTGGGTCAAAGGGCATGAACACTAGGTCTTCCACCAAGTGCCACCGATTGCTCTCAGGGCCTTTATCTCTACCCTGGCCTGGGGCCATGCCCCAATTTCTGTCCTGCAGGTTTCTCAGGAAGAGCAGATTGTCAGGCTGGCCTTGGGCCATCGGGAGGCAAATTGCCCAGCAGCCTCATTCAGACCCATACCTTCCGCCTCCCATGTCAGCCGGGAGACTCGGGATGGGGGTGGCAAGGCCAGGCAGGGTTCAGAGGGGCAGCTCCTCAGAGAGCTGAGCTGGGGCCAGGGCTCTCCCTGGTGTCCCAGAGCACGGGCACAGCCCCACACAGCTGCTCTTCCTTCGCAGTGGACAGAGGCTGGCTGGCCCTCCCCTGAGGCCGCAGACTGCTCTGTGTCTAAAAGGCTTTCCTGAGGACCACCGGCATTAGCCGACATTAGCCAGTCGGCTGGGCTATTGACCGAGTGCTAAAAGCCTGTCAGGGCAAGGACGATGACAGAGGCCATTTCCACCTTCTGCTCATTAGGCCAGGAGTCAGCCGAGGACAGACCTCTGATTTATGGGGGACACAAGCTCTAAACCAGGGAGGCACACCTGCTCTCCCGGCAGACGCCAGAGAGGCTTGGTTTGCATGCAGGAGCCAAGACTCAGCCTAGAGAGCAGCAAGCTCCAAACCGCAGAGAGGCTGCCCTGGGGCAGATGGCCTGGATAGGGCGATAGGACCCAGAGGGCTGAGCCAGGAGGATGGGGGACAGACCTCAGCTGCTAGGATGGGAGAGGCCAGGAGGCCATTGTCATGACCCTCAGCACTCGCAGGGGTGTGGCTGTTCCTGTAACAGTATCACAGTTCAGGCCTTAAAGGAGCCTCCAACAGCCCAGGGTGGGGACTGGAAGGCAGGGGTGTGGGGACGGGGATGGGCACAGGCAGCTTATGGGGTCAGAAGAAGTTAAGTGGGCAGGTGGCCTTCGGCTTCCTGGGCAGGATCCCTGCTATACTGTTGTACTCTGCAGCCCTGGCCGAGCGTCCTCAGCTCTCCGTGTCTCAGTTTCCTCAGCCGCAAAATGGCAACAGTAGTAAGATCTCATTTGTGGGGTGGATGCGAGGATTAAATGAGATAATAATACATGTAAAGCAATTAAGACAGTGCCTGCTACGTGGTGAGTGCCCCATAAATTAGCCAGTATAGGGACCAGCAGTTAGCGTAATGGCTATGTCACTGGACTCCCACGTGGTTGACCACGGTTCGCATCCTCGACCCGGTGGCTTAAAACTCACGCCGGGCGTGTGTGCGTGCGTGCCCAAGATCCCGAGAGGCGAACGGAGGAGAGGGGATTGTGGTGTGTGTGTGTGGGGGTGATTTCTCGCTTTCTGTCCCTCTGTCTCTCTCTGTCTCGCGAAGGCATGCGCCCTATAGCAAAACCCTCTCAAAAAAAAAATTAGCCAGTATAAATTCACCACAGCTAATCACAATTACCCAGTTTTTACTGTTGCTCGGTATGTTTTCAGGGGCCTAGAGAGATTCTAAAGGCACCAGGTCCAGGACTCAAACTGTGGTGGACCATGTAGGAGTCCAGCACCTTGACCACCATGCCCTCTGCTGGCCCTTTGAATGCTTTTCTTTGGGGGCCATAATGTAGGGAGTCGAATATATGCCAGGCCCAGTGCCAGGTGCTTTGCTCACAGGGTCTGCTTTACCTGCCAATCGCCCGCAGGCGGTCGTGCGAGGATCCCCATCACAAGTGCAGGAGCTGAGGAACTGAGGGTCAGACAGGTCGACGTCATGTACTGCAGGCCACAGAGCCAGGACATGACAGAACCAAGCTGCCTCAGTGCCTGGTCTCCTTCTTGCTGGCCTCGCCACCCACTATGTGCCATAGCACACACTGGGTACAGGTGACAGCAGACAAGGGGCACCTGTGGTCTCGGTCCTATGGGAGCCACCTGTCCTGTGGAGGAGGCAAGAGGTAATATAAAGGCTTGCTCAGAGACAAAGCAGAGAGAGAGCCTGGGGTGAGTCAGAGGCTTCCTGGAGGAGGAGGCCTTTATGTTGGACTTTAAAGAATGATTACTTGGATCAAGCCAGGTGGAGGCATTTCAATTCAAAAAAAGCAGGTGTTAAGAAGGAAGTACCTGGGGCTGGCAGGTGGCCTGGTGTTTAAGGGCGCTGGACTCCCACATGGCTAACCATGGTTCGAGTCCCAGACCCAGCAGTTTGCCCTCTCACTTTCCCTCTCTCTTGCACTCTCTGGTCAAATTAGAATGAATAAATAAATAAATAAAAGTCAATAAAATAACTCTAAAACAAAAAAGAAGAAGAAGAAAAAGGAAGTACCCTGGGACTAGCAGATGGCGTAGTGGTTACATTGCTGGACTCCCACATAATCGACCATGGTGTGAGTCCTGAATCTGGCGACTTAAAACTCATGCTGGCCATGTGTGCATGTGTGCCCAGATCCCAAAAAGAGAATGGAGGAGAAGGGATTGTGGCATGGCCATCCTCTCTTGGGGGTGATTTCTCGCTTTCTGTCTTTCTGTCTGTCTCTCAGGAGAGCGCATGTGTCCTACAGCAAAAACCTTTCTTAAATAAAAAAAAAAGAAGAGAGTACCCTAAAGCAGTCCGGGGCGAAGGAGGTTGGAGGACAGGATGAGCAAGGAGGCCAGGCAAGAGGGGCGAGGCAGTGGGCATGGAGTCCATTCAGCCCAAGCAGAGCTCACGGCTGGACGCTGTGGGGAGATGGACAAGAGGGCGGAGGAGCCATATCGAGACTGGAGGGGGTGAGATGGGGGTCGGGGGCTCCAGCAGAGGCCAGGGCTGAGCAGAGGAGGGGATGAGTGGAGCACATGACCTCCACCCTGGGAACACACACACCCCTACTATACATGTCACATTCCCATGGGGAGGGAGGGCACAGGCCCCTCCTCCCCTCCCTTCTCCTGTGAGCACAGAGGTGAGCATGCGGAGGGTTTCCTGTAGTACCCTAGGGTTGGGGTAGAGGTTACCTGGTAACCCTCCTTGGTTAGCTCAGGATGGGGAGCTCATGTCCTCCTGGGGCCCCCCACACTCCCCCCAACTCCTCCCTGTTGTCCTTGCTCTGCCTTTTGGGGGCTGGCCCTGTCTCAGCC